ACAAAACGTTACAATCCTGACTCATTTGGTATCATCCGTCTAAAGTTGTCATTGCTAAACTAAAAATGCACAAGGATCGCAAGAAGATCAGGCAAAGAAAGACGAGGAGCAGAATTTCGGCTCGAGCAGACGAAGTCCGCCCAGCTCCAGTTCCATTTGATTAAAAAAAAATTTCAAAACTTGATCCTTTTTCAGCCGACCGGAGGCCTGCTATATGAAGGAAGGTTCCGTAGCTATCTTTTTTGGTTTCCTTTTCTTTGTAGTAAGTCCACCCAAAACTGTTTTATCCATGTCATGAAAGCCAATTTAGCAGGGGACGCCATCCAGCAGTTTTCAAATCTAATTTTTGTTTTAATTACGGCCCCTTTTTTGCGCCTTCCATTGTTGATAAATTTGTGGTATTTGAAAGGAGTCCTCCGATCAACCCCACACACAAACCTTGTAGGGATCCGCGTCCCAAACCAGTTGTTTATACAAACACTAGCCAAACAGTGTACAGCTCCAACCCATTGCCTTGACCACCGCAAATGTCAGTGGATCCAAAAGTTGTCTGCAAGATAAAGGGTTTCAAAATCTTTGGCCAAAACAGGATTTTGTTGTAAATGGTGGAAATCTGAGAATCTGACACTGAACAATCTTGCCTGGGTTCCTCTGTTGTAGATCTGACTGTACCAGGAACTTGCCACATCATCCGACCTGGAAGTGCTCACAAAGCCACAGTGGCATGTCTGCGAGAGAAACAAAGATTGGCGGAAATTTCGACGAGTCAACAAAACATAACTTTCCAGATTTTGTTCTGTCAAGACGTTCGTGTAAGATAGCCATTATGAAATCAGGTATAATAAATTTGTATATTTCTTTGTTTACAAAAAATAAAAAAAGATTTATGAAATGTGCTGATGAAGGCTCTTTACCTGCAACATTCACTTGCCGTTTGCACTTGTAATATAGTGAAGCTAACTTGTTTTACCTTTTGTTTAGTTTGACAACTTTTTAAGTACACAAAGAAAACTGGAAAGCTGATTGAGTTTTTTTTATTATTAAGGTGCTAATCACGGAATTCACCCTATCTCGCTCTCGCGTGAGTTCTCATGGCCGTTCCTACTTTCTTCTAGGGGTGTTATGAGAGGCCTGTCTTCGCTGTTTATACACAGCATGGTAAAAGGTGACTGGCGTTCGTTTGATGAGGCCAACACTGTCTCCCAGATGCAACCGTGCAGATTTGTTTTCACCACTGTCTTTTGTGTGGACGAGTCTCATATCTGGAATGTGTTGTTGTTGTAAGTGGCTCAGGACCAAGTGTACAGGGAAGAAGTACTGTTGGGGGAAGCATCAAAGGTGCGCCGGTTCATGAACATTGATTCATTGATGTGTTTGTATTTCTGGCTGGTTGGTGTTGCCTGTTGTCGGTAGTGGATGTGCTTAAAACAAGCAACACTTAACACCGCTAGAAGATACAACATCCTATGGGAATGGCCAAAAGATCTTGTGCGTGAATGCCGTGAAGTGAATTCCATGATTACTTACTACCTGATTAAAATGTTTGAAATTCTCTTTGTAAACATATTTTGGCAGCAGGTTAGTTCATAACTGTGTTATAGGGTTGTATATGTTTTCTGGGATTTGTTCATGCTGAGTTCTATACAAATAGTGGCTCTTTGAGTCACTGGGTGTCAAACATTCAGGCTACAAGTAACATAGAAATTAAAAACTGTTTACCCACACAGGATTGCAGGTGAATTTTTTTGGTCCCATAGGGTTTTGTTCAAAAACATTATTGTTTGCATTAAATATTCCCATGAAAACTCTATTTGTTGTGTTCTAGGAATGAAAAATGAATGAACTATATCTGTGGTGGCCAGATAAATTTACTACACACTGACCAAAACAAATGTAAGAAGACACTTGATGTCGTCTTCATCTTAATCTTCTGAGTTCATCTGAAGAGGTAATAAATATGTGGTGCCCATTTCCAAGATGGCTACGATTTTGCGTATTTCAGCTGACACATCCGACTTCCGCAGGCATTTGTTGCCTGGTTAGCCTCCCTAGAGACACCTGATGTGATATTTGCGTGTTTCAGCGGACACATCCGACTTCCGCAGGCATTTGTTTGTTGCCCAAGTTAGCCATTCCCAAAAGACACCTAATGTAATGTTTGAGACACGTGGGGAACAGTCAGTAACATACCATGCGTTGTTTGGGACTGAAGGAGTTTAACTAGAGTGGTGTAACATTAAAGGATGCCGATTATAACTTATCTCCCCTTCAGAACTGCAGTCTATAGGATGATGAACTCATGGATGAGAATTAAAACAAGAGCAAGTACCACCAGCTCTGTTAACCGTACAACACAGTTATACCATACTCCTCAATTCTTCTTCTTCTGCACTTTATGCGTGTATGCAGCACAGACCCCAACCAACTCATGCCAAGTTGTCCTATCTTTTAAATAGCATGAAGCTCATCCCATGTCCTTCCCCCTTTTTTTAAATTTTATACTTAGTTCCCTTCTCCAAATTTTTTGGGGGGATTAGCCTTTATATGCTCCTGTGGGCTCCAGTGTAATGACATTCTAGTTATATTGTTTTCTTAATGTATGTCCTATCCAACACCAGCATCTTTTCTTCATCTCTTGAGTCCCTTTAATTTCTCTACAGGGTGTCCCATGAGTTTCCATTTATAGGAAAAATAAACATTAAAAAAAAAATTAAAACCATTCTAATGTAGATAATTCGATGTACATGACTACCATTGGTTTAGAAAACACATTTCCATGCATCTCCACCACTGCTAAAGAACATGTATGAGCACAGCTGCAGTTTTGCATGTAATGGCATTGGTGATATGTTTGTTTTTCATATGTATGGAAACGTATTGGATACCCTGTAGTTTTTTCCCCCCATATCTCCTCATTTATAAGGTTACTAACTGGGATGTGCCACTTTAGACTGCTAGCCAGGGTGGCAGCCCACACTGGTAGTAAACAGACAAACAGTCAGCATAGAATAAGTACATATTTGAGACACATGAGGTATGGAAACTTTAGGCTACCATCTCCTTCTCTTGGGAGAAAAACAAATGTTAGCCTGACATGGAAAAATCATGACCACAAAGCATTTCTTCATCCTCATTTGCCTGGGACAGCATGTTTTACCAAGGTAATACCTGAGGTATTCCCTCTTTATAGACAAAAAATGTTTCCCCTCAGAATGTGACAATTATGATATGAGGATCAATGTAGACAAAACAGAAGTGATCACATTCTCCAGAAAAAAGAAGAACTACGAATATAAAAATTGATGAACACCAGTTAAAGCAGGCAAAGGATTTAATGCATCTGGAGAGCATTTATGCATTTATTTAGAAGACGGAAGAATAAATAAAGAATGGCACCAATTTTGAAATGCAAGCATGTGAAAGAACGCTGTTCAACACAATATTCTTAACAATGCTATGCTATCAATGCCAAACATGGACACTGATTTCAGAAGACAGAAGGAAAATAGTCATGACAGAAATGAAATGTTTACCTACTATGCTGGGTGTAACGCGAAAAGATCAACTTAGGAATGATGATATCAGGAGGAGAGTTGGCAAAGAACCAGTAATAAATTTTATAGGTAGACAACAAATCAAATGGTTTGGCCATGTAACAAGACTGGCATAAGACCAGGCACCACAGAGAGCAATTTTTTACAGATACAACGGTAACAGTGCCAGAGGTCACCCAAGCAGAAAGATCAGAGACATTAAAAAGTACTTTATACGAAGTGAACAGAAGGGCTTGTTCCAAAGACCTCTTCTTGCCCGGACCCCGCGAGGCATTCCAGGAGTAGGGAAAAGAAGAAGAAGAAGAAGTGTTTATTGCGCTATAGGAGGGAATGGGAATCACAACCAATGACAATGGAATAGCACAAACCCTGGGTGGTTGGGCGGTCCCCATGTGGGTTTCAGGACCCAATTATGGGAAAAACAAGAATAGATCCACGACCTCCCCAACAAGCATGTCAACAATCTGCATGTAGTTAAGTCAGATCTGTTAAACGGATGTGCACGCAGCACTCAGGCTATGAAACAAGGCTAAAATCCAGAAGTGGACAAACACCCAGAACTTTCCGCTGGAGTTTACACCTGAAGAAGAAAAAACACTGGGCAGTACTCTAGAGATCTTGTGTTGCCCATGCAGCATGATCGTTCGCTTGGCCTGCCTTGTTAACTCCAAAGAAAATGTAACACCAATACATTTGGAACAAAGCATGCTAAAGAAGCTCACAGATCAGAAAAGCAGTGTTCTATCTGTCCACCTGTGGAAGCTTCCCTTTGAGACAACCAGGGCTATGGAGCTGGTCTTCCCTGGCTTCATATAGACCTTGTGATGATAAGTCCCCCCACACACAGAAAAAAACATTTTTCAGTGGAAACTATTTGTATTTAAATATTATGCTCTCTTTTTTGAGATTACATTTAGATACACAGCCTCCACTAACAAACATGTATAAGCACAGCTGGAGCTAAGATTGAATGGGTTTTGGTGATATGTTTTTTTTCATATGAAAGGAAACTAATGGGACACTGTATTGTTTTCTGGTTACATTTCCTCTTTTTAGGATAAGCCTAGTATCACAACACCCCCCCCCCCCATGCTCTTCCACCTGAAATCACCTCTTAAGTACAGTATTTTACAGTCCTAAAGCAGACTATTGGGAGTCGCTGTGGTGTAGTGGCTAGACGCTCGCCTGCGGATGGGAAGGTCGTAGGTTCAGGTCCTGTCAGGGCCAGACTTTTTCGAAACTGACCTAGGCTCCAATGACCTTGGCTCCCAGGTCGACCCAGCCTTGAGTGGTTACCAGGTGCAGTCCTGGGAAACAAAGGCGGCCGGCGTGATGCTGACTACATCCCCCACCAAGTGCCGACTGGTCTACAAAATATAGGTCTAGCCCTATATGCCCAATACGCCTGAAGGTGTGTAAAAGAGTCCTTTACTTTACTATAGCAGACTAAAACAAATGGTTCAAGCTTGTAGAGGTGAGAGTGCTGCTGATGTTCTTCTGTATGAACTCGGAGGAAACTGCAGCGACCGTGGGCCGTACAACTTCACAAGTGCTGTTATAAACATGTTGTTGTTGAACTGACTGATAAGGCATGAACTGTACTCCTGGGAGTGTCTTGGTCTGATGCTGGGGGAGCCAGACCTGCTGAAGCTCTGGATTCTGTAACTGGTGGAGGTGAAGCTCTGGATTCTTGATCTGGTGGAGATGAAGGTCAGGATTCTTGATCTGGTGGAGGTGAAGGTCAGGATTCTTGATCTGGTGGAGGTGAAGGTCAGGATTCTTGATCTGGTGGAGGTGAAGGTCAGGACTCTTGATCTGGTGGAGGTGAAGGTCAGGATTCTTGATCTGGTGGAGGTGAAGGTCAGGATTCTTGATCTGGTGAAGATGCTTGGTCACCAAAAAGCTGGGCTGGAACTGCTGACCGGGCTGAGGCAGAAATATGACCTGTGGTGCCTGATGTTGTTGGATCTGCAGCTCTTGTAGCGGTTGATGCTGCTGCAGTAGCTGCTGATTTTGTTGCTTCTCTTGAGAGTTGGCTGTTACAGCCTCTTTAGGTTCTTCCGTATGCGGCTCCCCACTGCTTACGTCTTCTTCTTCCGCCTCCTGTTTCGCGGACTCTGTAGCCCAAGCTGGTCTTGCAAAACTATGGACTTTGTCTAAATGTTTTCTTAAATGCATCTGAGTGTCACACTTGAACACACACTGAGGGCAGGATATACGCTTCTGGCCCGTATGTCGGGTCATATGTATACTTAATGTGGTGGAGCGTGTGTATGAGTTGCCACAAATGTCACAGGTGTACGGTTTAACACCATCATGTCTTCGTTTGTGATACATTAGGCTTGAAACCTGCACAAATGATGCCCCACAAACATCACAGGTATATGGCTTGCTACCTATATGTATACGTACATGGGCTCTCAGAGTGCTGCGATGCGTAAAATTCTGCCCGCAGTGTTTACATCTGAATGGTTTCTCATTTGTGTGGATGCGCAAATGCATCTTCAACAAACACGTATCTATAAACATCTTCCCACAAAATTCACAAGCAAATGGGCGTGAGCCACTGTGGCTCCGGATATGTCTTTGGAGCTTTGCTGCAGTAACGTATGAATCTCCACAAACACCACATCTGAAATGTTTCTCTCCTGTATGTTTTGTCCTCATATGAAGCTTAAGACAAGAACTCTCCTTGAATGACTTTTTACACGTATGACATACAAACGGGCTGTGTCCATTGTGTGAACTCATATGCTTTTTCAAGTCTTTAACTTTGCAGAAGGTGACCTCACAAACATCACAGCGAAAGGCATCTTTTTGCTCATGACCTTTGACATGATCTTTCAACTCTCTAAGGTTAATACAAGAGAAGCTACAGAGGCTGCAAGCAAACGGATTTTTCCCATCATGCTTATCAACTGTATGCAGATTAAGCTGTCCGGTATTACTAAACACGTCCCCGCAATGATTGCAGACCAATGAATTATCCCCCTTGTGTAGCAACAGGTGGGTTTTCAGATGGTCTGATCTTGTGAATCCTTTATCACAGATTCTGCAGGAGTAGGGCCTCTCCCCATTGTGCAGCCGCATGTGAGTTGTCAGATTACCAGTTCGGGAAAAAGTCTGGCCACAAACATTGCAAGCAACAGGACCTTTTTTTCTTCTGGATGGTTCCTTTTGGAATTGTCTACCTTTGTTCAGTTTACGGGCAGATTTGTAATTTGAGGAAACATTTAATTTTATCTTTTTAACCTTTTTACAATCTTCCATACAATCTGATTTCTGGGAATGTAATAGTTTTTCTGAATCTGCTACTGTGGTGTCAGAACTAATGTCTTGCTTAATTTTGATTGTTTTCTTTAAATTTGTTTTAATGTCCATATTTCTTTTGAACTTGCTTCCAATGTTTGACTTTCTCTTTTTTCCCAAACTGGCATTTTCCCCTTGATCAATGTGATATTTTTTGTCACGAGAGCAGTGCTTCCTGGCAACACTCTCCTTTTTCACTTCCAAAAGATCACTGCTGTCCCAGTCTGTGCAGGCATCAGATACATTTGTTGGTTTCTCTTTGGCATCTTTCTTCACAGGCATCTTTCGTTCTCTTCTAATGCCTGTGCAGTGCAGCTGTTGTGACTGTACACAAGCGCCAACAGATGAATGTGAGTCAATCATACTGGGGGTAGTTAATGATTCTTGGAGAACATCTTCCTGAGTATGTTGATGTGCCTTTACATTGTGCTGGGGTGAATCCACAATGTTTTGGGATGAAACCATATTGTGCTGGGATGATTCTACTATTTGATGGGATAAAACCATATTGTGCTGGGATGAATCCACAATTTGTTGGAATGAATTCATAATCTCTACGCTCTCAGAAAAACATGGCTGAGAAGGCTGTAAAGCTAGGTTGCTGTCTGAAGTTAGAACTTCCAGATTCCTGATCTGTAAGAGTCCTGTACATGATTCTACAACCTCTGAATACTGGCTCTGCAAGGGTTGGCCACAAGATCTTGTAGCTTCTGAAAACTGAATCTGCAAAGGCTGAATATAACATCCCACAGTGTCTGGATTCTGGACCTGTAAGGCTCTAGTACAAGAGCTAGTAGTTTCTAGATGCTGGATCTTTGAGAGTCCAGCAACAGATTCTGTAGTTTCTAGATTCTGGATCTGCACATTCTGATGAAAAGATAATACTGAATCTGAATTCTGGACCTGAGAATTTCCAAAAGTGCTGGGATGTCGGGTTTGTGAATGTCCCACAGTCTCTGGATACAGGACCTGAGAATGTCCCACAGGATCCGGATGCTGGATTTGTGAATGTCCCACACTGTCTGGATTCAGGACCTGACAATGTCCCACACTGTCCGGATTCAGGACCTGACAATGTCCCACACTGTCTGGATTCAGGACCTGACAATGTCCCACACTGTCTAGATTATGGATCTGACAATGTCCCACACTGTCTGGATTCAGGACCTGACAATGTCCCACACTGTCTGGATTCAGGACCTGACAATGTCCCACACTGTCTGGATTCAGGACCTGACAATGTCCCACACTGTCTGGATTCAGGACCGGACAAAGTCCCACGCTGTCTGGATTATGGATCTGTGAGGGCCTAGAAAAAGTTTCAGCAGCTGTGCAAGCTGAGCTATGATGCACTGTCGGTTTTTTAGAGACAGGGGAGATAAGCTCAACTGACTGTTCTCTAAGGGAGTTATGCTCTATTGTCTGCCCTTTAGAGGAAACAGATTTATGGTCCATTGTCTGCCCTTTGGAGAAAGTGAAGACACGATCTACTGTCTGCTCTTCAGAGATAGTTAAGCTATGCTCCATTGTCTGCTCACTGGAAGATAAGGTACTGTCAGTTGTCTGCACTTTGGAGAAAGATGCATTCTGTGCATACAGTATAATACATTCTGATGGCAGTTGCTGAGATGTGCTGCCAGGCGGCATGCTATGTCTAACAGATGGGAGCCTAGAGTGCTGGGATCCTACTAGAGATGTAGAGTTATGGAGCAATGTCACATACGAATGAGGGGATGATAAGTTATATTGCTGTGAGGAGTCTAAAGAAGATGATACCAACATATTAGTTGCAGAGATCTTGGAGATTTCAGGAAAGCCAACAACGAGCCCATATATGTACGGTGTGGCCGTAGTGTTGTATGTGGTTAGTGCGGTACTGGCATAAACTGTTTCAGTTTTGTCTGACATGTCCAAGGTTGGAACTGTCTTAGAAATAACAGGGTCTAATGTGGTTAGTCTGGCTGTGCTGGAAGTTGGGGGAGCCTGGTCTTCAGGCTTTTGTTGAAAATGATCATTATTCCAAGATGTCTGCGGTTGAGCTTGGTTTTCTGTGCTACTGTGATCCTTAGGATGTTCAAGTTCTAAAGGTTCAAAATTTGTAGCCAACACTGCAGCATTTTCAGTACACAGTGGTCTGGATGCCTGTTTATTGTTTTGTTTCGGTGGAAAAAGAGAATTTTTCATCTGACTATGAGTTTTTGCTGTATGTCTGTGTAAATGCTTTGGGGTATCACATCTAAAGTCACACTGAGAACACGAGATACGTTTCTGGCCCGTATGTTGGGAGAGATGAACGTTGAGAGTTGCCATCCGGGTGTATGAGTTGCCACAGACGTGGCAGGAGTAAGGTTTCTCCCCAGAGTGACTCCTCTTGTGGTAAGTGAGGCTGGAGACCTGGGCGAAGGCATCTCCACATTGGTCGCATTTGTACGGCTTGGCTCCGGTGTGTATACGTAGATGAGCTCGTAAAGTGCTACCATGGGTGAATGTTTTGCTACAGTGGCTACATTTGTACGGCTTCTGGTCACTGTGAACTCTCATATGCATCTTCAACAAATGGCTCTCCCCAAACAATCTACCACAAACTTCACATGTAAAAGGCAGATCTCCTGTATGCTTACGTGCATGAGTTTTCAGCTTTGATGAAGTTGTGAATGACTGGTCACATGTAAAACATTTATACGGGGTCTCCCCTGTATGTTTACGTAAATGAATATTCAAATTTGAGCTCTGATTAAAAGTTTTTCTGCAGAACTGGCAGGGAAACTTCCTTTCATTGGAATGTATTCTCAGGTGATTCTTCAGATTCCGTTCACTTCCAAAGGAAACTCCACAAATATCGCATAAGATCAACCTGCTCTGTGTTGTACTCTGAACAGTCCTTGTGTAGCTCTTCAGCTCACTGAGATATATTTTAGCACCATGGCTGTTGATCTGATGGTATTTCAGATGATCCTGCCGTTTGAATGACTGACTGCACAGGTCACAGTGGAAGGGTTTTGCTCTGCCATGGACCAACTCATGATTCTTCAGGTGGTCTGAGCGACAGAAAGTCTTTCCACAGGTGGAACATCTAAAAAGCTTTTCTCCCCTGTGCAGTCTCATATGCAATATAACATTTGCAGAACGTGCAAACACTTTTCCACATACTTCACAAGTTCGAGACTTAACCTTTTGAGCCCTTTTCCCATTTTCTTTCACCACTTTTGCTGTTTCTACTTCCTGTTTAAGCTCACAAGCTGCTCTAAGCATTAAAGAAAATTCTCTAGATTTTTTCAAAACACTAGATTTTTTTACATTCTTCTCTCCATCTATAGATTCTGCTTGGGAAGAATTTATTCTGGAACAAGACTTTAAATGATATGCTAATTTTCTATTGCTGCTGAAATTCTTTGCACACACAGGACATACGATTGCCTTGTCTTCCCTTCTTCCTTGTCCACTTTCTCCATCATCTTCTATGTCATTAAAACTAAAAACAGAAGCTATCTCTTCATTTTGTAGAGACATCGGTCACGGTCACAACAGCTTTAGGAAGCTGCACTGGACGCACACTCTTCTTAGATCTGGAGCATCTATCATCTTTAGAAGACATCTTTCTTCTAGAACTTTCCTCATCATTCTGGTAATTTTTCTGTGTGTGACATTTCTTGTGAGATGCCAGCCTTGTCTTTGCAGTAAAGACTTTGTCACAGTTTGCACAGGCAAATAAACGCCTAATGTAAGCATTCACTAGGTGTCAGTCTCACGCTGTTGAGCTGTGATTTCTTGATATTAGAATCTGTAATAAGAATGAGATATTTAGTTTTATCAGTGCCACGTTAAAAAGACATAACACTCTTTTAAAATCCGTACCAGAGGGAAAGGACAACGGTGAGAAAGCAAGCGGTAGACAATGATACAAGTGAGAGGAAAATATCAAGAGACAATCAAACTGCAGTCTCAGAAAGTGTACAAACGAAAACAAGAGGCAGAGCTTGTTGGAGATCTAAGGCTGTCAACCTTCACAGATTAATTATGTCTAAACATCAGGACCTGTGCAGCGTCCGTGGCTAAGGCATTGCGAGTCTGACTCATAATCCAACGTACCGCAATCGAAACCTGCGTGGGCTGCATGGATTTTTATCATGGTATGGGACGTCGCAGGTCGACCCAGCCTCAAATAGGTACCAGGATGCGCTGTCCTGGGAAAGTAAAGACGGCCAGCGTAATGCTGACCACATTACCCACCCAGTGCCGATTGGTCTGTAAAAGAGATCTTTACTTTAAAAAAAAAATTTTTATCAGGACCTGTAATAAGAACTACAGTAAAATCACGTTAACATGATCTCACTTAAGACAAACACTATTTTAGTCCCAGCAGGAATGTATTGAACCCATGGTTAGCACACATTTTTAACATAAAGATATTTCGGTCCCTGGGAATTCATGTTAACATGAGACAGAAGGTTGGGTTGTGCACAGACTATTAAATGGGGATTGGGGGGGTGGGGGGGGTGGGTTTGAGTGGTCTTGAGGTATGGTGTCCGCCTCGAGTGCTGGAGGTCCTAGGTTCAAGCCCCGGTGAAGGCTAGGATTTTTTTCACATGGACTTCTAATAATTCCTCCTGGTCTCTGGGTAGTCACATCTGGTAATCTGGTAATCCTAGTTTCAGCTTCATAGCAAACGGGTCACTCCATAGTTGCTCCGCTCCTGTGCCAACGAAAAACACAAGTAGCTCACAGTGTCACGCCATGCACTCAACTCAGAAGCTGGGCGACGAAACTATATCCTTCTAGTCTACAAATGGAGCAAAAATGCAACGGCCACCGTCTGGCAGGAAAGGAAAAAAAAAAGCTGGCCGTGCCTAGCGTCCATTTTGAAAAAACCAAAAAAAAAAAAAAAAAAAAAAAAAAAAAAAAAAAAAAAAAAAAAAAAAGCTGAAAGCATTATATGAGGGTTAATAAATGGTCACCCCATCAGTACCCTCCCCCCCCCCCCCCCCCCGATTATTAGCTGGGGAAGGGACTTAGGACTTTATATCCACCAGCAGGCGTCACCCCTACAATGACCTGCCTGCCTTCGTTAACAAATGTTCACCCAACAGCCATGCAGTTCTTTGGCACGAAGGAGACACCTTGAACTTGGGTTTCGGACTGCCGACTCCCTACAAGATGTTATTTTATGTTTTGTTATCACACTTGATGTCACTCCGAAGCAGCAGCCACTGCAAAGTAGTTCTACTAATTGTCCCCATGAGAAGCTGGTTATATCGCCTCCTTTCTCGGCCTCGAAGACTGCAAAGACGTGCATCTCCATTCTTAACTCTCATGTCACGCAATCGTGTTAGTGTCAGGGATTCCTCATTCTCCACTAGCCCAGTTCGTACAGCGTTGACGATATCTGCTCTGTCCATGCTTTTTCCCACAATCATTAGTGCAGTGCTTGCCAGTTGGTCCCCTTGCTCATTTCCCTTTACGCCCGCATGACCCGGTGTGTAGATCCAGGTTATTTTTATTATTATCATTATTCAGGGTTTTATTACTCTATTATGGGTGTACGCTGAAAAAAAATGACTTATATTAAGAGTAAGATCTGACGCCTGTGTGTATTCTTGCATATGTAAGAAATCTTTTGGCAGTTGGAAATAAAACAGAGTAACCCAACGGCGCTGCTCTGGCAAACTTTGGAGTTTAAAAATCTACCCAAAGTATTTCAGGATCCTTGCAAGTGCAGCGGAGTTCATGCACTGGGCTAAAATTCTTCAGACTCAGACTTGAGTTAGAAGTAGAACAGAACACTTATGGGTTACATCCGTGTGCCATGATGTTGATCCGTCGAATAAACATAAACAGACAGCTAATACCACACAACATGGATTGATTATTTATAAGCAGAAGAAACAAATGCAAATGCAAATGAATTCCATTATCTGACAAAACCAAATATATGAAAAAAAAAAATTGCTGTGTTATTGATAATATAAGTAATTTTTTTTAGGGTACACCCATAATAGAGTAATTATACCCTGAATGTGGATAATAATAATAATAATAATAATGTAAAAATCGGCTCTCCTCCGAACTTCTACTCCCGCGGTATCGCTGCCTGAAATATCCATTCGGGGCACAGTCCAATTAAAAATACGGACTTGTCGGAGTTCCCGCTGAGGAACAAACTGCGACAAACTAGGAGTACTTTACAATGTCACGAGACGCAACATTACAGACGATAGTAGCAGACGATAAAAGCGACCGGTGACAATGTCATGCGTTTTCTGCAGACGATACTAGAAGACGATAATAGCGACCATCGACAATTTCGAGACTTTATAGACGATGAAAGCGATATGGCGGGTAGACCACGCGCTCCCACGCAGATTAGCAATACTGTTCTTCCGATTGAGGATTTAGCAGCGGTAGACGTCAGACTTGTCGGCATGCGCAAAACGCGATTAAACTCACCGCAGAGTATATCCCCCGCGCTGCGCCGCGCGTAGCGGCAAAGTGGGGGGCTAAACTAGGTGCCTGGGACTCACGAGCAAAGTAACTGGAGGAAGTTGCAGGAGATGCGGTAGCTGCCACTCGTGAGTCCCAGCCATCTAGTTTAGCCCCTATCCGGATACTGTCGACGGTGAGGCATAGTCACAGAAACAGGTCCGCAAGTAACATATCGCTGAGAGCCTGTTAGAGCATTTGTTTCGTTTTTCCGAGCCGATCCTAGAGCGATTTGTTCGTTGGCAGAAAGTTCGACAATGGAAAGTATCAACGGTCGCTATTATCGTCGTCTGCTACTATCGGCGTCTCTTAGAATTGTCAGGTAAACAGAAACACTAAGACATAGGTCCGCAAGTAACATATCGCTGAGACCCTGTTAGAGCATTTGTTTCATTATACGGAGCCGGCATATTTTTAACCCTCTTAGCACGGACGGGCCGATTATCGGCCGGCGGATGTCTGGCCAAAAACACGGAACGGCCGATCATCGGCCCGATCGTGTTTCGTCTCGAACCGCTAAGAAATCTCCTAGTTTGAAACACTGAAAGTGATTCATTCATATTCACTGCTGTATTAGCTTTACACATGGCGACTTTCGAGTGTTTGGTATCGAAGTGAAAATTGTTGTTGAATTTTTTAGATAGTGACCTGAACCGCTAAAAGTATGTCTGACTCGTATGTTTCTGTCCCTAAACTTGATGTTGATAAAACATTTGAATCAAGTGATTACACTAATTCTGTTGATACTAATGCAGGATTTAGTGTTAGTAGTAATAGTGGGAATCAGATGGGGACGCTGTTGTGTTCAGACCACAGCCCAACCATGGCTCAGGGTATATCCACCCTAAGGTGTTGACACTCTGGCACATCCATTTCTTGTGCTGACTAATGGTGAAAAACACATGTCACCTAAAGATATTATTGCTGTTTCATATATATATATATATATATATATATATATATATATATATATATATATATATATATATATACACCTGTTTTTGACTATTGAATTGCTTACAACATTTGCAAAAAAGGCCAAAGATCAATAAAAAGATTTCAAATTTAAAAAAATTATTGTTTTTAGTTTTATGTTTCAAGCATTGAAGTTGAAAATTCAAACATAAATTTTCTATTTTTAAATATGCAAATGAGATAATTTGCATATACATCAATTAATTTTAACGATATTGTGAAAATCGTGAACTATGTCTATATCCTTCAAATAGATATATTATTTCATTAGGGTCAGAATAACAGAAATCTGTCAAAAAAATTAAATAAAGTAATAACCAAATTCACTGAAAAAATGCTCCGTGTTTTTGGCTAGACCTCTGAAAAACTTCCCGTGCTAAAAGGGTTAATTAGACTGCGCCCCGAAAGGATATTTCAGGCCGCAATACTGCGGGGGTAGAAGTTCGGAGGGGAGCCTAAAAATATAAATTGACTTACATAACATGACATGCTTCGTTGAGTATTGTTGGATTTAATGTTTTAACCTCTGTCCAGCTGTTATGGTTTCATAAATAAAAATCAAACTTCACTGCCATTTCTACCAACTGCGGTCTGTTGCAAACATCGATCAAATAGTTTTCTCGACAATTTTGTGGTGCCTAGTCTCGGCGTCTGTAATGTAACCCAAACAAATGGAATCTGCAGCGTTGACTTGGCCCTGCAGTATGTATTTTAGATGATTAATCACATTAACTTCGCCGACATCTTACCTCGAATAATATTTGCACTATTAAATGCATTCCCGCCAGCGCTGAAATATCATATCTGTAATGTTGCTCAGTTTTACACAGTCATTAAATAAGTAAATAGATAAAATATTGATGTTCTTCAAGGCAATAACGATTATTTTCTCTTCTTCTCCGGTTATATATTTTACTATCCAGGATTAATTATAAACTTTAGTAACAGAAGAGTGTAGAATTATGTATTCACTGGGCGGTGCTCCGCGCAGAGAGTAAACGTTTACAAAAATAAACCCTTGATACCGTAGAAATATTCCACAATGAATGGTACACGAGAGGATAATGACTGCACGACAGCTTTGGTAAAGGCTACTGGCCTCCTGATATAAGATTTCCGACAAAAGGATCTAAGAAAAAGAAGTAGAAAAATGATATGATAAATATATATATATTATATTATACATTTTTATTATGTATGTGTGTGTGTTATGTAGAAAATTAACAAGGAGACAATGTATTGATTGGCACTCATACAAAGAAATAGAAAGATAGAAGGACCCATTAGACAACATAAGAAACGAACGCTATAGTCACCGTGCCGGAAATCGAACCTGTCACCTCCAAATTGTGTGTGTGCGCCTCGCTATGGAAACAAGCGTACTAAGAACACAACCAACTAGACATCCCAAAATAATTTGTCATCGTTGGCACATCTATCGTACAGCTTGAAATTACAACCTCTTCTTCTTCTTCTTCTTCTTCTTCTTCTTCTTCTTCTTCTTCTTCTTCTTCTTCTTCTTCTTCTTCTTCTTCTTCTTCTTCTTCTTCTTCTTCTTCTTCTTCTTCTTCGTCTTTTTCTTCACTTCCTCTTTTACCGCTGTGGGTGTCGAGGGAGATATAAGGTTCTGTTTCTAGCTCTTCTGGCTGCCTCGACCATAGGCACATCGTGCTGTTGTAGAGTTTCTCTGATGTTATCCTTCTATCTTGTTCTTGGTCTACCCCGTGCTCTACGTCCTTCTTCTCTTTCATCATGTATGCTTTGAATGGTATGGTGTCACAAAGGCATTCTCTCTAAGTGGGCAAAAACCATTTCACTTGCTGTCTTTGTATGTAATCCAGATTAGTTTCTGTGCCGACTTGTTCTCTTATGATCTCATTCCTGATCTTATCTCTTATGGTCACTCCTACAGCCCTTCTCAGGCATCTCATTTCCGTGGTTACTAATTTTCTTTTATGGTTTGTTGTGAGTGACCATGTCTGGCACTGGTAGCACAGAGTTGGAATAAATATGCTTTGAATAAGATGTCTCTTTGTGCTGATTGGGATTGTCTTATGCTGTAAGAGGGGGGCTAGTTGTCCCAATACTTGGTTTGCTTTACTGCATCTAATGTCAATTTCTGTATCCAATTTCCCATCTTCGGTAAATGTAGTTCCCAGATATTTAAACTCAGATGCCTGTTTAATGCCTTTGTATTCTATTGCTATGTTTAGATCTGTCTTCTTTTTTCCTATTGACATTACTTCTACAACCTCAAACCACTTAAATAGCCTCATAGGTTACAGAAATTTATATTAACGAAGCAAAGATCGGATAACAAACACAGCAACACTTTACAAGCACTGCAGACTGTAATGCTTGGTGTAGAATACGCAAACATTTAGGAAAGAAATATGATTGGTAGGTTCCTTTGTGTTACACGTCATTCACGTAAATAGAAGGAGCACCATTGAAGCCGTAGAAATATTATATTGTATACAATTGTGGAAGACTTGTCTTAAAACAGACGGGTCTTGCTAGTCACACTCGCCCTCGCCATGGGATGTGATCCCATGCCTCCCACATAGCACAATATAACACTATCGTCTGGACACACGGAAAGGTGCCAACAATCAAGTGTAACCAAGACATAGTCCTCAAGAAAGAGAATAGGGGCTTCTGAGCTGAAATGCTATAGAAAGATTCTCATACATATCTGGACAAAAGAAGGGAAATANCACAGGATATAAGTAACTACTTGAGTATGAAAGTACATGAGGCGGGAGAGATGGCGATAGGCAGAGTTTCTTTCAGGCAGACCGTGATGAGAGCGACGTTCTGCAAGGGACCTGCTACATGATGATGATGGAAACCAAGTCACTCGAAGTGATTGGTTGGACATCCAAAAAATTAATGAAACAATTGATAAAAAAAAGACAAACATCGATTTATGATAAAATAATATAATTTATTCACAACATTAAATCATTCATTTTCACATTAATCCAATAAATGTATATATATATATATATGTGTTTTCTTTGAAGTCAGAGTGCATCTGCCCTAGACGCGAGTAACGAACAGTAAGCATATAAATAAGCCAGATCTGTGAAACAGACATACATGCAAAACTACTGGAAAAGGACAAAAGTCCAGAAGTGGACGAACAATAGAACTTTACAGTCGGTGAAGGCGAAGAAGAAGAAAAGATAACATGTCTAAAAATGATTTTCCCATAAAAGAATAGGGGAGGATAAAAAGGAAAAACATTAAGAAGACACACGAGACAACCCCCCCCCCTTTCCTAAAAAAATGTAACACATGCAACACAAGTCTCAATACACGCCACTGAGTCGATTTGGGTAAACTTTTTACAGTCTTCACCTAGAACCGGTCAAATATCTAGGTCACCATGAAGACATTTCCGGAAAATCCATGACGTACTCATCAGTGTTGAAGTCAATAGTGGTCAGTCTGTCCAAACACATGGGCACTAGGCTGATCAACCCAAGGAACAAACTTTGCTCGCGAGGCAAAACCTTCATCTCCCATTCTTTATGACGGACTTTCTGGAGGTCTGAGTCGGGTTTCAGCTTCGTCAACATTTCTGAGCATGCCTCCTTGATGGATTTCTTCAACTTCTGCTGCGTGTCTTTCTCACAGAGTGCTCGTACTTGACAAAGGGGATGTATGATGTTTTCCTCAACTACCGTGAAGGCACTGCAAAGAAATGAATAAATGAATAATTAAAATTGGTAGTCAATGTTTCTGCTTCACAGCGCACGGGAAGCCGGTGATGACTCCGTCTTGTCTTCTTCTTCTTCTTCTTCTTCTTCTTCTTCTTCTTCTTCTTCTTCTTCTTCTTCTTCTTCTTCTTCTTCTTCTTCTTCTTCTTCTTCTTCTTCTTCTTCTTCTTCTTCTCTTCCACCTTTTACCTCATCGAAGTGTCGGGGGGAGATGTAATGTTCGTTGATGAGCTCTGTCAAGAGCACTATCAAGACTGATGTTCATTTCTGTAAGGCTGTTCTTAATGCCATCACTCTATATTTTCCGAGGTCTTCCATTCGCTCTATACCCGTTGTAACGTTTTAGTGTGGCTCGCTGTGGCAGATAGTACCAGGGCATTCTTGTTAGGTGTCCAAACCACTTCATTGGTTATTCTTTGATGACCTGTAAGACTGGCTTTATTTACTCCGTCTTGTGACAGCGAAAATCACGCGAAATGCTCTTTAGGGTAACATTTTAAAAACTAGTGAGCAGAAACATGCTCACATGTTAGATGTACAAGTAGCAACTGGTTCCAAAACAAGTATTCGCCACCAAAATAAATAAATTAGCAGCGCGCTTTCATTCTCTCTCGCCGCTTTGTGATTTTTACATTTGTACATTCCCATCATGCCTGGAACAAAAGACGAAGTTGCTGTGGAGACAGCAGAAACCAACACAGAGCCCATGGTTGCAAAAACAGTGGAAGATGTGAAGGCAAACTCCAAAGAGTCTCCGGAGGTTTAAAAAAAAAACTACAGAGGAAGAAAAGCCAGAGAAAACAAAAGAAGAAACCACACACATACAAAAGCCAGTTCAGATGCAATGGAATTAAATTCAGAATCTGAGAGTGTTGCAGAAAAAAGACCCGCAGAAGACAAAGACGAGGATACTGAAGACGGAACCCCAGAGAAGAAGGCAAAAACAGATTCAGATGAGGCCAAGTCATCACACGGCACAGACGAGTCAAAAGGAACTACCGAATCTACCTAATTTCTTTCTTTATTCTAGTAAAACAATAAAACCAGATGGTATTTCGTTCTCCAAGGAATCTTGATGTATAATTGATAGTCAGGCCATGGCCAACATCACGATTATCACTTCACGCTGTTCTTATCATAAAACGATTTTGTGTCCTGTGGATTTCTTTTGAAGGTGTGAGTATTATCATTCCTTAACCGCTTCATATTTGGTCATCCGTATCGCTAGTTAGCATTACAATTATTTTCCGTCCTTTTCAGGATGAAATTTTTGGTTATTTGAAGCCCTACTCTGGCTCTTGCCAGGGGCTGCAATATAGCCTGGCCATAAATATGGCCTAAAGACTGAACGTGGTTTCTGGGACCTCTCCACGGTGATCTTCACCCACATGGTGGCACATTGTGTCATCGGGTTTTTTCGCTTGTGTGATGTCCTGGTGGGGTAGAAAGTCAGTCAGTCAGTTCATATTTGGTAGAATACAGTTTTTAAAGGAAAAAAAAATAATAAAAAAAATAAATGTTGGTCGAGTGCAATAGGTAAAGACACTCCCATGAAACATATTATCAATGAGATACCTAAATAAATTCTCAATGGCTATGTAAGAATAAAATAACGAACTCTATTTTCAAAGGGTAAAAAGTCGGGCTCCCAGGCCCGTCTTTCTCTGTGTCCTTCCAACCACTCTTCTGTGACGCAACCATTGTATTTGGCAGAAAAAGCATGTGAGAGAGACATTCATGTAGAGAATCGAGAGCCAGTGAGGAAGAAAACTCAAGATATCTGATAAAGGTGCAAAAGCCATTATAAATACAAAACATAACCGGTTGCCACGGGTGGTGTCACAAAGAAAACAAAGAATCTTTATAGGATGGTCGCTCAAGGGGCTTAAGCCTCGCTGAAGTGCCTAATAATAATAATATATGAATAGCAAAAAAAAAATAATTTTTGTTTGAAATAATATTAGGGTTCATCTGGGTAAAGATTCGACATCAGGGTATTCAGAACAAGCCCACGTTAGCTCCGTCTGCCAGTCAGCAGCAGCGAAAACTCTCCATGCTGGCGGTACCGGTTGTCATCTGTTTACCTCTCTTCAGACCTTTTCCTGAGTTTTGAGTGGCACCAGGTTCTTAACATGATATGATACGCATTAAAAAAAAACTTCAAAAACTTTAAAAAAGAGACCCTTTATTCGTGGTGAGAGTGAGCAACTGGAAAGATCAGAGGAAAGATGGGTAGAGGCAGACCAAGAGAGATGATGCTGGATGGGCTGAAACGATGGCAGGGAGAGATATCATGAAGAGAACTGTTCCAGGCAAATAGGTATCGTGATCTGTGGTGATGCCTGATCGCCTTCACCAACTGACAGGGCACATGATGATGATAACGAGGATGAGAGTGAGCAGCTTAGTCCTGTTAAATCTAGAAGGGCTGGGGTCAGTTTTGTTATTGGGAATGGACTCAAAGAGCTCCCACTCTAAGATTTAGACACCCCTCTGTGTTACCGATTGCAATTTCAATAACAAAACTTACTGCCTAAAGAAGTCCAGAGTCTCTAAATATTGATCAACGGATTCAAACTCTGCCTTCTTGGAATCCCGCGCCTGCTTCATGTCTGCGCAGAATTCTCGGAGGTTGCGCACAACTGTTGCACTTCCGGGCAGTGTTCGTTTGACGACCAGCATGAACTCGCCCAGGCTGTGCTCAAAGTTGCTCTCCAGGTCTCGAGCTTGAACGATAATTTCCGGCATAACCTTTTGATGTTCTTTGACCCTCTTCACCATGTCAAGGTCACGTTCTGCAAATAGGAACAGGATTCAACTATTAAAAGGGAATAAATCTTTGCGTCTGTTTTAACACATCCCCGCGTGAATCATGGTGCTCCATTCTGGAGGACACGCAGTACAGGGCCCTTTCGTGCTATGCTATAGAGATTCGGTCGCATCAGGCGGCACTGTAAGGGGGAAACTTTTGATCTTGCAGTGCTAGACTATTAGGGGCGGCATTTCAAAGACACATCATACAGAGAATATCTATCTCCCCCCCCTCCCACCCCGCCCCACCCTCACCCGTGACAGTTATGTGTTGCCTTTAAAGTCTGAGTACATCTGCCTGAGATGCAAAGAACCAATAGTCTGCATATAAATCAGTCACACCTATAAAACGGATGTGTACGCAACATTCAAGTTCTGAATCAAGACCAAAGTTCAGAAGAAGACGAGCAACCAAAACATTCCCATTGCAGTCTATGAACGCGAAGAAGTTTGATGACAAGCACCGAGACGATGCCAGATTACGCAACTGCTTTCAAGCAAGAAAATGTTATTTCAGAGACAAACGAACACTTGTTTCGCATGTAGTGACAACCGCTAGGTGTTCTGTTACTGGTACTAAAACTAAATGGAAACTTCTGATTTTTTGATTATGTGCATAAATGTATTATGAGGGAACAGTGAGAAGGCATCGTTACAGAAAACACAATGAGATATAAACGGACTGATCGCTGTAGGAGTGACCATAAGAGATAAGATCAGGAATGAGATCATAAAAGAAAAAGTCGGCACAGAACCCATTCTAAATTACATACAAAGACAGCAAGTGAAATGGTTTGCCCACTTAGAGAGAATGCCTTGTGACACCATACCATACAAAGCATACATGGAAAAAGAAGAAGGTCGTAGAGCAAGAGGTAGACCAAGAACCAGATGGAAGGATAACATCAGAGAAGCTCTACAACAGCACGATGTGCCTATGGTCAAGGCAGCCAGAAGAGTTAGAAACAGAACCTCATATCTCCCTCGACACCCACAGCGGTAAAAGAGGAAGTGAAGAAGAAGAAGAAGCAGAAGAAGTGAGAATGCACAGATAGATCATTACGGTCTGATGAGAATGGCGCTGCGAGGAGTTGCCAGGGATTGGCCGACGCTCAACACTCAAGGAAAAGGCGAGGCGGATATACAATCAGACAGTTACTGGTACCATCAGAAATGGAACTCTTCGCTTGCCAATGAAGACTGGAACGGAGCGCTTATGAGGGTGCCCCGAGTTCTATGATGTTGATTTTTAATTCAACATTTGATTATGTATTAAAATTATATATTTTACGATGGCGTGTAGCCTTATTATCATCTTCTTTCTCATTTTGCCATACTACTTATGCGGTAAAGAATGGCAAAGAGGAATCAGATATAATTGCACGTCTTTTGATATTAATCTAGCTTGTGTTCATGTCATATTGCGTGTATGTAGTGTCCTGTTTGCTGCATCCATCTTGGCTTGTAGACTGTTGTTCTTATGTAACATTGTTGTTGTTGTTGTTTTTATTATTATTAAATACGGCCTGGGTCCTTTGAGAGCGCCCCAACTAGAAAGAATTGTTAGGGGGTGACGTCCGATGAAAGTCCCCCCACCCCCGCCCCTATTCCCCCCCCCCCCCATAATGTATTTTTGTGTTCGTCTTTCAGGCAGTAATTTCACTACTACGCCACCCTAGTTAAGTCCTGCCTTCCCCGCAACATAATGATTTATGTTCGAGTCAGCAAGCGATACCTACCGAAACATCCAAGTTGTTTTCTGGCGGGAGATCTTAGCGCCATTTCCTGCAGGCAATTCTGATATTCATCTTTCCAAAGCTTAGCCCTGAGGGTCAACTTGATTGTGCCTGTAGCCCTTAGCAACGCTTTATCGACTAGAATCTCCTGGCAGGTAGGTGTAAGGTGACTTTGGTCATGCAGGTTCCAGAGACCCTCTACGGCGACTGCTGTGTCAAATGTTACGGCGAGAATGCAGCCTGAAATTGAACGAACACAACTGAAGAGTTTTCTTTAGTAGCTGTTTGAGTAGGAGAATCATCAAGAAGAAGCTGGGGGCACGAAGAAACCTTTAGGAAGATCGGAGGTTCTAGGCGCGGCTAAGTTCATATGCTGGAAAATCCTAAGAGCGACAAAATATAACTTATTCTTCTTCTACTTTTTCTGCTGCAGCTGCTACTTTTTCATCATCATCATCATCATCTTGTTCTTGTTCTTGTTATTGTTCTTGTTCTTGTTCTTCTTCTTCTTCTTCTTCTTCTTCTTCTTCTTCTTCTTCTTCTTCTTCTTCTTCTTCTTCTTCTTTAGCATTCCGATCACTTGAGGTTCACTGCTGCAGATATCACCCACCGTCATAATCTCTCTGGTTGGCCTTATTTTTTTCCAGTTGGTGAAACCAAGTGTTTGTAGGTCTGTTTGGACGTTATCTCTCCATCGTCTTTTTGGTCTACCTCGTGGTCTACGACCATTCAACTCCCTTGTGTATAAAAATGTTACCTTTCTGTAATCTGCCAGCATCTCACTCTCTATTCCCCACTCTTTAAACATGTGATGGGTCTAAAGATTCGTCGTAAGACTCCTGTTTTTAAAAATTTGCAAAAAGGCCTAATCTCTTTTAATCGGGCTCCGCAATTCAGAGCCATATAAAATAACTGATCTTATCAAAGTTTTATATATTTTGATCTGCCATATTATAACTTTCTTACGCGGTAGATCGGGGTTTCCCGGATTTGTATGTATTCAAATCTCATCTTTAGGGTTGAATCCTACAACCTGTAATCTGGAGGAGAACACTTCCTGTCCGAGCCGATTAAGTCATTAAACAGACATGTTTTGGTGCCCCATCTGGGCTTGTACCGCGGTCCCTGGATGAACACTGCTGTAGACTGCATCTCTTCTCTCAGCATGTTGGAGCGGGTGAAGTTTGAAGGAAAATGTTTAAAACTATTGATTTTATCACTTTGACATTTCGACTTGTATTGCGCATTACTGCTCCACCGAGACTACAATTTGCTCATTTGTTTTATCTGCTTTGTATTCAGGTGAGTTTAGATACTTCAGAACAGTCGAAAATTAAAGAAAGTAATTCTACAACCTATTGTCGGGTATTTGTCGCTCAAAATTAGCCGAGTAAAAAGTAAAGTAAAATAAAGAATGCTTTTCCACGCCTGATTAGGCAATATAGGACTAGGTCCAAATTTAAAAACCGATCGGTGGGTCATGTGATCAGCATCATGGCAGCCGCCTTTACTTCTCAGGACCTTCCCTGGTAACCATTTAAGGCTGGGTCGACCTGGATGCCAAGGTCATTTTTGAAAAAAAAAAAAAAAAAAAAAAGTGGGCTTCGTCAGAACCTTACCCACGAGTTTCGATCCTCAGGTGAGTGTATATCAGCTACATCACGATAGTTCCTGTGTGCGGGAGGGGTCAAGAGTTTAAAACAAATGACTACGCAAGGGCGTTTTACGTCTTAAATACGGCCTGATCAGGTCAAACAAATCAACACTTATCGGAACAATACTGAACAAACCACCACAAGTTCATGCAACTTCCGGTTACCGTTTCGGAACCCCTCCAGAATCACGCCATCACAAATATGGCGCCGCTCCAGTGCGCCCTTGACCTTGGCCAGATCAACCGTCTGTAAATGGTCCAGCATTTTGTCCAGGACAGTCATCATGAAGGCGTGACGGGAGCCGACAATCGTGTCCTTGTCTGGCACCGCATCTATGGCGTCTAGATAGATGCCCATACAACCTGAGGAGAATTTAACATGGAGAGGTAAGGACTCATCTTTGAAACAACTCACCCTTTTTTCCACAGGATGCAAGTAAAAGCAATGTGTGTGTATGTATATGTGTGTGTATGTGTGTGTGTGTGCGCGCGCGCGCAAACAAAGAGAATCTTCTCCTAGAGGCTCCGTCTTTTTGGCACAGAAACTCCAAAAAAGGCTCCGACTTTAAAGAGTTAACATGACCAAAATATTCTTAAATAGTAGTGTTATAATAAACAAGATACGTAAAAGAAAAAAAAAAGGGGGAGGGGGCGCTGGGATTTGAGGAGGGGCGGGTTGTTCATGGGCGGGCCAGAAACTCCAGCAATCATTCATATACCAGACGACAGGTAATCGATATTTGCTTTGATGTGCCAGAGATTACATTCACATAGCCACCTCAAGTATGCCATTCGGATATTTTGCCGGGTATCGATACCACCCCCCCCCCCCCCTCCACCAGCCACTCACACACTACAGGAGTTTATAGATTATATTATTGAATTTATTAACTCACAAAAAAAAACTTATTGGGTTCATTTAAAAGTCAATTTTTTGTTTATTTATTCCTGGTTGGAATAATTTTTTAGGTAATCAACAATTCATACGGCGTTTTTGTTATATTGTTTCTTTGTTGTTGTTGTTATTATTATTATTATTAATATTATTAATATTAATATCATTATTATCATTATGTTTTTTAGTGATGTGTCAGCCAGTCCTTTTCTTCTTCTTCTTCTTCTTCTTCTTCTTCTTCTTCTTCTTCTTCTTCTTCTTCTTCTTCTTCTTCTTCTTCTTCTTCTTCTTCTTCTTCTTCTTCTTCTCCTTCTTTTAGTCCACGCCAGTGTGTCCCAAACTGTGCCCGCGGCGCCCCGGGGAGCCGCGACCTCTTCATTGGGGCGCCTCGAAATATTCGAAGATACACTAAGAAAAGTTTGATAAACACTGGTCCATGCTGTGTGGTCTTAGTAGTCACGTCTATCCACAACCTTCTGTCTTGTAGACTTTCAGTCAGCTGTGACACAGATGATCTTCTATACAAAGATGTCAAACTGTCCAACATCTTCTCTCTCAGTCTTGCTCTGTTTATGTTCCACTTCAGTTTTATCACAGTTACAAGGTACTCCAGTTTGCAACTTCTCAAGACCAAAGAATGCAGATTGTCTCCCCCTGAAGAGGCGAACAGTGCCCTAATTGAGTCCATTTCTTTCATGATATCTTTATTTCCCTTTTAAAATATGTCCATGCTATTCTCACCAATCGTGTATAAACCCCATCTCCGCCGCTTCCAAATATTTCTCCTCTAACTATCCATGATTCACTTCCTTATATCAGAATAAAATCTATATAGCTCTTGGGAATTCTGTTTCTCGTCTCAATTGACAAAGAAATATTGCATCCATCTGCAAACATATGCTAATCAATTCAATCCCGTTTCTGCCAAAACAATCAAGTGTTAAGTAGCCTTTCATGTTAACAACTGTACCGAGTGTTTATTTACATACTGATCGATTCATTGATCGTTTCTGCCGATTAATACACTGCAAGGCTCCAATCCAATGGTGACAACGTCAATCGCAGACGTCTTGCCAATGCACAATATAGACAGGTTTATTTTGGTCAGAGAGGAGATTAAGTTGTTCTTGACGACAGGGGCGATAATTCTGTGTTAAATATTTATCAGGTCGGTAGAATTAGAAATCGTAAATATAAATCTAGCTTTGGTTAAATTGACTTCTGGGAGTTTTTCGTTTTAATGATTAAAAACACCGGTTCAACACTTTGCTACATCGTTAATTTGGCGTAGCCAGTAGTAATAGGTTCACGGAGGTGCTTTGGGCTTGATAAAAATCTAAACCAGCGGTAATTTCAAAGGTTTAGAAGTGCCCGCACACACATAAACACACACACACACACACACACACACACATATAAAAGGGACCTTTACTTATATATATATATATATATATATATATATATATATATATATATATATATATGTGTGTGTGAGTGTGTGTGTATATCATCATCATCATGTTGCAGAACGTCGCTCTCATCACTGTCTGCCTGAAAGAAACTCGGTCTCTAGCCAGTTCTCCCACCTCATGCATTTTCCCATTCAAGGAGTCACCTATATCCTGTGCCCATCTTCGTGTCGGTCGGCCCCTGCCCCTCCTTTCTGGTACCATGCCTTCTGCTATAATTTTTTTCCAATCCGTTGTGGCGCTTTGTATGACGAAAATATTTCAGCTTTCGAGAAAGGATGCTGTCTATTAGCCAATCTTTCTTCATGTTCAGATCCTTTAAGATGTCAATATTTCTCATCTTCTTTGTCCAAGATATTCTGAGAATCTTTCTATAACATTTAAGTATATGTATATACTTAAGTATATAGTAAAAGTCTTTTTTCAAGGCCTTTAGGCGTATGGGGAATATAGGGCTAAACCTTTATTTTGATAGACCAATCGGCACTTAGTGGGTGATGTAATCAGCATCACACCGGCCACCTTTACTTCCCAGGACTGCACCTGGTACCCATTCAAGGCTTGGTCTAACTGGGAGTCAAGGTCCCTTTTTAAAAACGTTCGGCTCCTTCATAACCCGAACCCACGACCTTCCGATCCGCAGGCGAGCGTCTAGCCGCTACACCACGGCGTCTAGCCGCTACACCACAGCGTCTAGCTGCTACACCACGGCGTCTAGCCGCTACATCACGGCGTCTAGCCGCTACACCACGGCCGCTAGCCGCTACACCACGGCGTCTAGCTGCTACACCATGACGTCTAGCTGCTACAGCATTACGTCTAGCCGCTACACCACGGCGTCTAGCTGCTACACCACGACGTCTAGCCGCTACACCACAGCGTCTAGCTGCTACACCACGGCGTCTAGCCACTACACCACGGCGTCTAGCCTCTACACCACGGCGTCTAGCTGCTACACCACGGCGTCTAGCCGCTACACCACGTCGACTCCAGCCAACACTGATGAGCAGATAAAATAAAAGCTGTTACAGGCAGAAGGCTTAATTAAAACAACTAAATCAAATATAAAAATGTAAACTAACAACTGCCGTGGACACAGGGAGTGGAGATTGAAGCAAACTCACAGTCTGGTCGAGCGAAAGCTGGTCTGGAGTCGTCTGTTTGAGGCGTGTTCGGATCCTCCTCCATCCGGAAGTGTTTCAATATTCTGAAAAGATAAAATAATAATATAACTATTCCCCGTGTTGGTTCCGGGGCCCTGTTGTGAGGGAAAACAAGAATTGACCCACTGAATCCCCAAAGAGCATGTCGTAGGAGTCAACTGATTGGGGGTTTCTTTTGAAATCGGAGAGCATTTGCCTGAGAGGTAAGGAACCAATAGTCTGCATACAAAAAAGTAAGATCTGTTAAACGGATGCACACACAACACTCAGGTTCTGGAATCAGACTAAAGCCAAGAGGTGGGCGAAGAAGCAGAACTTTCGGCAGGAGTTTACAACCGGTGAACGCAAAGAAGAAGAAGCAGAAGAAGAAAAAGAAGAAGAAGAAGAAACAGAAGAAGAAGAAGCAGAAGAAGAACAAGAAGAAGAACAAGAAGAAGAAGCAGAAGAAGAACAAGAAGAAGAACAAGAAGAAGAACAAGAAGAGAAGAGAGAAGAAGAAGAAGAAGAAGAAGAAGAAGAAGAAGAAGAAGGAAGAAGAAGAAGAAGAAGAAGAAGAAGAAGAAGAAGAAGAAGAAAAGAAGAAGAAAAAGAAGAGAAGAAGAAGAAGAAGAAGAAGAAGAAGAAGAAGAAGAAGAAGAAGAAGAAGAAGAAGAAGAAGAAGAAGAAGAAGAAGAAGAAGCAGAAGAACAAGAAAAAGAATATTATTTAAAAAACGAGCAAGTCGCCACTCTGTCTAGAGGTTATGAATCAAAACGACAAACGTCTGTATTGAACCTGTTTTAGTGTAGAGGTGTTTAAAAGCCTCTCTTTATTGCGCGTTTACCACTTGTTGTGTTGTTAGTTTTCCTCTTCAAGATTGGAGGCTGCAAGATTAGTATCCCACGGATGAGAATCAAACAGCCACACATCCGGAAAACTCCGTTTAGCCATATAGACATTTAGCACAGTTATCTGTGGCCCCACAAAACGGATACAGGAGTCGCCTTGGTGTAGAGGTTAGACGCTCGAGTCCTGACGAAAGTGACTTGCTTTCAGGTCGACCCAGCTTTAGTGTGTACCAGGTGCAGTCCTGAGAAGTCAAGGCGGCTGTCCTCTTGTTGATCACATCACCCATCAAGTGTCGATTGATGCATAAAATATTAGTCTAGCCCTATATGCCCATAAGTCGAGTAGAAGAGAAGGGTCCTCTACTTTACGTTTTACCAAACGGTTACAAGGTAACCAATATTGTGGATGCGTCTTGGTTTACCCATTTTGGTGTGGTGGAGTACAAGCGGGTCGCCAGCCTGGGGTTTTGAGAATGCCTGGCCATGACCGGCTCTAGCTGACGGGCCGTGCTGCTGGCGTCATCGGGTCGGGCTAACGATGCTTTAACACAGTGGTTCTCAAACAAGAAATAAACTATTGTCGACAGTGGCGAGGAAAGACTACTTAAATTTTAACTTTTAAGTATTTTCATGCCTTCTTCAATAATTTCACAATTTTTAGCCGATTTTTTTTTATTATTGCCGCGACTCCCCTGATATACGATCACGGCACCCCAGGGTGCTTCAGCACCCAGTTTGAGAACCGTTGCTTTAACGCATCGTTAGCCCGACCTAGTGACGTCAGCAGCACGGCTAGTCAGCTAGAGCCGGCCATGGCCTGGCTAGTGCAGACGCCACGAGCTGTTGAGATAAGGATATTTTTTTTTTCGTCGATCGTGGGAAAAACAATTCCTTTCATTACCAATGATCAAACCCATGTCTATTGCATGTGTTGGCCCTAATATCATATATCGCAGACTAGCCGTAAACAACAAATTAAGGTACCCACATTCAAAGGATATGTATAAAA